ACAGTAACATCTGTAAAAATTGTAACAACCTAATTTTTATATGGTAAAATTTAAATATTCTGACTGTTTGAGTTTTATTAAAATTAACCATTGGTCTCCCACATTAACTTTTCCACGACATTCTAATTTATTGAGATGCATCTGTATAGTACTTCAATACTATGGTAAAAATATGCTTTCTAGATATTTGTATGAAAAACAGTAGTCTATATCAGGGCGTCATGCACCAACCCCTCAGAGGACCTCAGATGATGCCAACCCTGAAACAACATACAGAACTACCACATTTTGCTATAAGTTTGATTGCATCATATAACAATTGCTGTTAATAGTGTTCATCGTCTGTTTTATTACGTCTTAAATTGATTTTTCCGTACATTTCTGCCATATGTACATTAATTGACAGTCACCACTGATAAGCTTCCACTAAATATTGTAGAAACTTAATTTGCTGTAAAGTTGCTTTGCAATGATTTGTATCGTGAAAAGCGCTGTACAAATAAACTTGACTTGACTTGACTTGACTTAGTATTCTATGAGGGCACTGGTGTATCTTGAAAAACATGGCCACCATCAGCCAATCAAACTTGAGCACCCTTTAGACATGGTTAACGGATGTCGTTTGGAGCAAAACTTGGTGTAGCTCTTTGACTCATGGCCTTAGAGGTCTGTGAGAATTTAGAAAGAAATCGACCACCAGGTGGCGCTATAGTGTTTTACGCCTCATATCATGCAATGTTTCATACATACACACAGTATTCATATCATATGTTAGATTTCCTCATTCTGAACAACTTTGCCTCAAGAACCACTGCTGTCAATCAAACATTTCATTAAATTGTGATATTATGTTAAAAACTTACTTTTTCAAACTCGCCCTAGATGGTTTGTCTAATTTTCACCAAAATTGACACAAACCAACTTCAGACAGTCTTGGCAAAAAGCTATCAAAAGCTTTTTGATAGACCCAACCGTTCTCGAATAACGCACAAATGAATTTGACGAAGAGCTCGCCAAAATGGACATGAGGTTATTTCTCCACGCTTTATCGTATTAAGATCAAACTTGGAGTTTGCTATGACAACCATGCCCTGAGCTGCTTAATAACTAAAAATCAAATTGTAATTCTAACTGAAAGTGACACTGGCACTGTTTTTTTTTTTTCATGTTAAATACTGTAAAGCTGCTTGCTTTATCAATCTATTGTGTATAGGTGCTATATAAATAAACGTGACGTGACTGGAGAGCCGAATTGCAGAGCTGGTGCAAACAGATTCTCATCTCTATGATCAGATGTTTTCTTAACTGCTGTTTTCTCAATGCACTTTGTTGTGTGTTTATTTCGTTATTGAGAGGAATGTGCACAGCACATATTTACATATTCATCTAAACTCTCAGTAAACACGCTCTCAGCAGCGTCTGGTTCGGCTGCACTTGTACTCCAAAGCCATGTACTGTATGTCTTCTTCTGAACTGCATCCAGAAGGGATGAATTACAGTCTTGTGCTACAGTGCCACACCGGTCAAAACGTGTTATTGCAGCATCTTACATTAGTTCATGAGATCAAATGACTATTCGACAACAAAAATATTTGTTGACAATTTTTTTATTGTCGACAATGTTGATTAATTGTTTCATCCCACTAAGTCCTGAATTATAATACGAGTTTTTCAATTAACAAGCTCAGTTCTTGTATCAGACATTTAAAGGTGACATATCATGAAAACCTGACTTTTCGAGTGGTTTAAAACGCATGATTTCAGCATGATAAACATGATAATCAGAAACATAACAGATTTTTTTAGCAGGTACGAGCTGTAATGGCACAGCTCTATTCTGCAAAAGGGGGCGGGGAGGAGCAGCTCATTTGCATTTAAAGACATAGGCCCTAAAAACAGCTTGTTCTTGATGCTACAGGACTCTCCATCAACACCAATCAGCAACAGGGTGCAGGGAGGAGGAGGCTTTGAACGGCGCTCCCTCTCTCTTTCCTCTCTCACTCACTCTCTCCGCCGGGGCTGGAGAAAGGGATCAATGCCGTGAATGATCCTCCTCTCCTTGCTCACTATTCTCATTATTATTTTCCACCCTGCCACTCGCCAGCCCATGAATAGTCAATAACAAACCAACAGGCAGGAAATGAAGGAGCAGATGCTTAGTTCAGTGCCTGGTGTGAGTCGTATTTATGAAGAGCTGGTTCAACCACGTGAGACGGACTTCGTTCACTGCTGAGGATTATAGAAACTTTCTTTTTCTCTATTTGAAGATTGGTGGATTCTCTCTTTGGACTTTACTGTGTTTGCCCACAACGATGGAGTCATTTGTCTAATACTGTGGTTGTAAAATTTCACCTTCTCTGAAGTCTGTTAATTTTAGGTGATATTATAAAAAAGGTGCATTTCTCTTTTCATATTGGGAACAGTTCGTAGGCGAACCTGTGTGGAGGGAAGCACATGGTCGACTAACTGTGTTTTTCCTGTCAGGTCATCCCAGCAGTCTTTTGTGAATGCTTCAGAGAGAGCCGCACACATTGGAATAGCTGGGAGAATGTTTCTGTGGGCCGGAAGCAAAGGAACTCAAGGATCAGGAAGTGAGAGAAGGTAAAGTACAATTTTCTAGGGTCTCTATAAGGAGGCTGCATGTTTGATTTCATGTTCATTTTAAATACAGATTAAAAAAATATGGTCATAAAATAATTGTAAAAATAGTTATAAATTAAAAACAATTCGAATAAAATTAAAAATAATTATATAAACAAAAATCGATTTAACCGATAAATGCCCCAAATAAAACTTCTACGCTAATTTGTCTAAATAAATGAAAAATAACACTACAAAAACTAAGATCAATTGTTTAAAATGCTACAAGTGAAACATTATAATAACCAGAATAAAGGATATTTACTTTAACAGTGTTATTAAATTAGTAGTGTGTTTAAAAATGAAAGTGAACATTGAGTGACTCAAAAAGTAATATAAAATGTAACAATATAGGAAATGGACATGCACAAATAAATATCCAACAGTGACTGATACATTTACAACAGCAACAACAATAATAATCTAAACATTATATCAACCAACACTTGCATCCCTAGAAAATATGCAACTTCTGAATAAAAATTACTCTCATCATTCTAGAACGGATGCATCACAGTTTGTTTAATGCATGGAAATTTACTCACTATTGTTAGCAGTTTTAATTAAGTATAACTGCTGTTTTACCAGTATCAGAGAATGTAATTTTAATGATCAAACTAATTTTAGATTCTGACGTAAACTAATCACAGGAAGTGGGTTGATAGTTTGTAATGCTTCTGACCACTGTACTCACAGTAATTATCAAAAGGTCACTGATTAAGATAGACAGGTTAGACAGCTTGCCTTCACACCCATGCATTATCTTCAAAAGCAATATGACCTGCTGTCAAAACATGATTAAAGAATCATGAGCTAAATATTTTGAAAGGAACTAACTATGCAATAGGACAGTAGCAGGTATCTGTGTGTCATTTGAGCTTCTGAACCAAACCTAATTCATCCTGGGCATCAAACCTTTTTTGTGTAATAAGGACTGTTGAAATGATTCTTGAAGCAATATCTTGTTTTATTGAGTTTTTTGCACACACCATGCCTACATTAATGTACTTCTTTTTCTTCCCTTTGCGTGTCTTGTGATTTTTATATCACTCAAGCAGGACCATTTATCAGAAGATTCGTGAGTATGACGTTTTGGAAAAGAGGAGGACAGTCACAGCTCTAAAGGCTGGAGAAGACAGAGCCATTCTCTTAGGCCTCGGCATGATCCTTTTCTCTGCCATGATGTACTTTGTGCTCGGCATCACAATGGTGCGCTCTTACTCAGACAGGTAAAGATGCCCAGGAACCTTCTTACGAACAGAACATCACAAAACTACACTGAAACCACAGAATTAAAGGTGCATTCAGTAATTTCTCCCCATTCAAAACTTTGAAATTAATAGTAATTATGAGAAATACATTTACAATTTCTACAGTGGTGACTAAACATTGGACATTTTGACTTACTGAGTACCTTTAAATAATCTCTAAATTAAAAAATATGGGAGCAAATGTATATGCTAATATATTCCCTAAAGCATTTGTTTCTTGTAATGTTTTCTATTCTATTCTAGAGGTCGACCGATTGATCGTCCGGCCGATTAATCGGGCCGATTTTTGGCATTTTTTAATTAATCGGCATCGGCCGATTGTGCTGCAAATTAGGCCGATTAATAGGCAGGCGCATCTGCGAGCAGCTAAGCGTTGTTGTGGAACAAGTGATGCTGCCTCTTGCGTCAAGCAGATTGCCATTCCACTGGAATAACCCGGGGGGCTTTCACACTGGCAGTTTAGTTCGAAACGGGCATGGTTCACATTAAAAATTGCTAATATAAAAGCTGTCAGGAAAACCCCGGTGAGCGCCGTGGTACTGAACCCGAGACTACCTGAAGGAGGTGGTCTGAGTTCGGTTGCACTCGAACACACATACAGTAAACCCATATGTTGTTTACTCTGCTGTGCATAATAGCACCAAATTAATAAAAAACACATTGACCCACGTTCTGTTTTCTATTAGGCGTTGTGCACGTTTGTGATGACGTAAGATAAACGCAAACACACCAGGGTTCGATAGAATCAAGTTTAGTGTGAAAACAGACCAACACTGCGGGGGGGACCAGGAACAATCCCGCCTGGGCTCGAACCGCAGCAAATGTGCCCAGTGTAAAAGCTCCCCCTGTTATGTCTCACTCTGCCTGCTAACTTTTTGAAGAGAACTACCTGGTAACTTCCCAAGAAAACGGTAAGACTTAAGTTCTTATCCTTCGTTCTTAATCTAGAGTTATATATTTCATTGGTTAAATATGATGCTACTTCTGGAGAGAATGAGAATAACATTTGGAGAGAGAATGCGAGTAACTTTTTGGAACTGAATCGTTAGCGAGCCTTCAACCAGGTGTTGTTTAGGCTACAGGTAGGCGTGGGTACCAAAACCTGGTAACAAGCCCAGTGGCTAAATTATTGTAGTAGCCTGCGTCGTAAACATAAGCTCCAACGTTAACAATTCACGTGCTTTCAGATGGAGCAGCATTTACTACACAGAGCCGTAGTTCACTGACAAGCTACGCAAACAGCTTTTATAAACGCAGAACGATTTCTTCGTTTTCATAATCGCGTGAATAAATCATCTGCGATTATGAACGCGATTTTGCGTAGCTTGTCAGTGAACTACGGCTCTGTGTTGTAAATGCTGCTCCATCTGAAAGCACGAGATTTACTACTAATCACAGAACCGGCTTTACTGACAAGATGCGCATGACAATCGCATTCGATTAATCGTAAAGCCCTAACATTAACTTTCCTCATTAAATATGTCTGGTTACAAACGTTTATTTGACAAAGTCTAGATTTTTGATTCCCTGTTTTTTTTGTATTTAATATTTAACGTATACATTCTTTTTTTATTAATATTATACAAGTGCACAGACTGGAGAGACATGTGTTGTTCAATAAATGTTTCATTTAAGCGATTTTCTGTATCATTTCTAGATTTTATGAGATGGGGGGGGCCCAAAAAAATCGGCCAAAAAAAAATCAGCATCATATATCGGCTATTGACTGCCTTGATTTCTAAATATCGGCATCAGCCAGAGAAAAACCCATATCGGTCGACCTCTATTCCATTCTAATTAGTTATTCTATTCTTCTCCTAAATGCTTGTGTTTCTCATATTTTTTTCCACGTATTTTATTCAATTCAGTCCAATTCTATTCTATTTAGTTTGTGTTCTATTCTGTTCTGCTTATGACAAACATCTAATCAAAAGCATTCACAATGTCTTTATTTTATATTTATTATCTACTATATTCTGTATTGTTTTGTTGTAGGCTATTCTATTCTGCTCATGAATATTTGTCATCACAGATGTTTGTCATTTCTGCTATAGACACTTTTCACATTTCTAAGTTTGGAACACAGAAGTAAACTAAAGCAGAATAAACTTCTATAGAGCAAATATTATTTTTGCATTATAATTTGCTCAAACAGCAAAATAAATAGGAAAATCCACTATTGCTTTTATGCGAAAAATATAGATAATGCACTATGGCAGTCAGCCAAGAAAAAAGATATCAAATTAACAGTCGATCCCTGCAGTTACAAAAAACTAACACCCTCACACCAGTGTTTACTAGTTTTTTTGTTTTTTTTTGTAATTCAGTGTCATATAACACAAAGTACAGAGTTATAAAATGCACATTAAATTAAAAAGAATTTTTTTTTTTGCTAAATTTAGGATTTTAATTGATACTGAAATGCTTCTGCACAGTCTGTGAAAAGAGTCCATTTAATTCTGAACAGAAATGCATTTTTCATATCATTCTTAGCTGCTCGTGAACTGTCCATAAACATGATCAGTCAGTGTAAAACAGTAGTAATATTGTCCACAATCAACCAAACATTTACAGTTTCCATCCCTTTTTTGACCGCAACACGCAGATGAGCAAACATTACAACATAGGAGCTGAACTGGGTTCTGTAGAGCCAGATACCACTGACCCACCACAGACTGCACACAGATCAGAGCTGGCATACACTGCAGTCAAATGCAATTAAAGAGGCAGCTGAGCCTTTGGAATAGCCAAAGAACACAAGGTCTGTTATTCATAGCGTAGGAGACAAGAGGCCTGGCACAAAGACAAACAATAACATGTAATCGGCCGCCACAACAGAGGGCCAAATCACCAATATGTACCCTAGTGAATATGGAGGGCGACCCTGATGTACAAATATTGTACTTAGTGTGTCACGATGGCTAAAAATAAAAGCATCTTTGATTACAGAACTTGATGCAACGGGGAGCCTTTAATGGGCTGTTATATTTAGAAGTATATTAGCAAAATGTTTAAGACTTTAATTAGCTGTGTCAATTTTTGTATCCTTCTGTTTCTTGACATATTGGTTTTTGGTGTTTATCCATTATGTCAATAATGACCCATTTCTAATTAAGAAAAAAAAACTGCAATTAAATGGTTATAGAAATAATTTAAAAAAATAAACCTAGCTTGAAGATTAAAGTTTGTAAAGAGCGTAAAGCTCACCTCCAATCAAAGTAAAAATAAGTCTTTGGGTTGAAATGGGCAAATTCAATAATGATGCCAGTACCAAACTAGGATTTCCACACATAACTGAGTTTGGTGTCACTGCATTTGCACACATACAGTACAAATGACCTTAAGCAGGGTGGAAAATGAAGCCAAGGGCAGCACTACGTCTTCTGTATTTTGTTGCATTTTCAAGTAAAACGGTATATTAAAGAAAAAAGGACTTGATTTTATTCCTTAGCAACTGGTTTTTATATGACAGACTAGAAGGGAGAGGCATAAATAGTGAGAGGAATTGATGATGTCAGCGGAAAAGAAAAGTTGTTTCAGACATTGAGCAAGTTATTTTCATAAAATAAGATTATGATTACATTGTTCTTTGGAATAATGTGCATTGGAAATATTGCCGGCTTTGATTTTATACTTACTTTACCTCCAATATGCCCTTCAACAACACGCTTAGAAGAACTCAGTAGCAAGCAATTTCATGGGTCACACTTCTCCACAGGTTAAGTTTCACATTAAGTCAGGAGTGCTCTGTCCTGCTCCTCTAGATCTACCTCACTGCCGGGTTTCATTTCAGCTTTAGTCAAACACACCTGAACCAGCTAATCAATTCAAGGTAACCTGAAAATCTGAAAATGTTGGAAGTTCTCCAGCAGCATGTTAACCCACAATCAGCCATCTTGACTCATACTGTATGATAAATGCATTTTAACTTTTTTTTTCCAATTCTCTGCCCATTGTTTCCTCTCAGCGTTTGGACAGAGGAGTCAAACTGCACAGTGCTGAACTCCAGTATAGTTGCTGAGATTAACTGTAGCTATAGTTGCGGCTCAGAGTGCAGGAAGAGCTCCAGGTTTCCCTGCCTTCAGGTATATGTCAGTCTGAATTTCCCCGGCAAAGTTCTGCGGCTGTCATACAATGAGGAGGCCCATGAGGCCCACCCTGAGGTACACCACAAGTAACCATATGCTTTAACTATACAGATATATCACATTACCTGTGAATAGTGATGCATTGGCAGTTCTTCTGTGACACTATGCTGTAAAAGAAAAAAAAATACACATTTGTTATTTTAAGGAATCTGATTTGAATTAAATTATTTCTACCCAGTGTAAATATATATATATATATCTTGAATGATCTCAATCATTATTTTAAAAAATAAATAAATAAGTAAATAAATAATGAAAATAAAATATGCCAAACTACTTAATATTTATATAATATTTAATTAACAGACAATTGCATCACCCTGATGTCTTCCAAAAATATCAAAATAACTTTAAAATAGTATGAATTTTAATAATTAAAAAATCTAAATATATGCTCATCATAGAAGAGATGTATCCAAGTAATTATATGTATTTAATTAATTTTAATTTATATGTATTTAATGTATTTTTGAATAATATATTGGCAATAAATAAATAAATAAATAATAAAAACCTAAAAACGCATGTATGTTATGTTTATTTCCCTGACAGATTATAATTACGTTGCCAAATTCATTAGGTTTCATAGGTCTTTTTGATCTTTATAAACAAAGATTTACTAAAGAAAAGCAATAAATAAATAAATGAATAAATAAAAAATAAGGTGCTTTCGGACATTAATCCTGCCTCGTCTCATTGCTTATATGTGGACATACAAGTGACCCTTACAAATCATCCGTTAATGTAATTTTAATCATCTATGTAATTATCTAAAATTACCAATTAACAATTTGTCCCCAAGATGACACAACAGTATGTTTCTGAACATGATAAATTACCACTATACAGTGTAATACACTAACTGAACTGAATACTTTCTGGTAAGTGCTCTTCCTTCTTTCCCTGCAGTGTTTTTACATCCCAAAGTGCCGCAAGGATCACACACTGATGCACAGCATTGTGATGAACATCTCAGAGCGACTGAAAACGCACCAACAGGTTTTGTGTTACTATGACCCCTCAGAGCAGCAGGACAGCGTCCTCCTGACACGCCTCTATGGCCGCGGGGCCATCATTAGCTCTTTTCTCTGGCCCACATGCACGCTGGTGGGGGGCACGCTCATCATCGCAATGGTGAAGCTCACTCAGTACCTGTCCTTCCTGTGCGAGCAGATCAGCCGCATTAAAAGGTGAGACTGAGAGTGTGCAGACGGATACCTCAGACCAGAGAGAGATCTAATCGATGTGTTCCTTGCAGGATGGGGCTCTATCCCCTAAAGGGAGCTTCTCACACCAGGGTCTGCACTCGGAAGTTTAATGGCAGCATCCAGGATGGGGTTTGAATGGAGGTGGCCACGTGTAAATTTGTCAACGAACCTGTTTTCTACCCCTACGTATATAACGAAGTGTTTCCGCTCTCATGTGGTCTTCCTTTGGCGCTCCATCAACCTTGTTAATCTGCCGAGTTGTATTAACAAGGCTGAAGCAATGTTGTGATTAAAAACTTCCTGTACCATTGAGATCAGGCTCAATAGAGCTTCTAGTTGTCGCAGTTGGAACTTTTTACAATAAGACTGGGTCAAGTCCAATCCTGAAACTCGAGGATCAAAATATGTGGTCATGTTGTGGGGTGTTGATTACACTTTCTGACCAACAGATCAAAGACTCCATTCCAAGAAGACGTCACTGTGTAGCGATATGTCTTGACCAGCTGACGCTTATGTAATCGCAGAAATTAAAAGTAGTATGAATATGCTACTTCCATCAGCGGTGATTGCTGTCATTCATGGCTCTTTGACAAACACCTGTGGATCTCTTCAAAACCAAAGGTCATATGTTGATTGTGAATATACTGTATCTCCTAAAGGGATAGTTCACCCAAAAATGAAAATTCTGTCAGAATTTATTAACCCTCATTTCGAACATTCATGACTTAATTTCTTCTATTAAAAAAAACAAACAAATTCTAACACTTTACAATAAGGTTTCGTTTGTTAACATTAGATAGCTAAATTAGTTTACACAAACTGCTGTAACAATGGACAATATTTCTAAAGCTTTTCATAGTTAATTTCTATATTTACAAGTAATTTTTTTTAAATCAGAACTGTTAACATTAGTTAATGCACTGTGAACAAACATAAACAAGCAATGATCAATTGTATTTTTATTAACTAATATTAAACAAAAATATTGCTCACTTATTTCATTTTAACTATGTAACTAACAGTGTTGGGAAGGTTACTTTGGAAATGTAATAGGTTAAAAATTTCAGGCTGGGAAATCTCACACTCATACATCCACAACAAATTCTGAAACATGGACAACCCTATTTTTTGTATGGACCTCACATAAAAAAGGTATAAATCCTTAGGTTGGGGACATGCAAAATAATTAAAAGTTCTGTCCTGAACTGCACCTTCACTTACATTTTTCTTTTCAGTCTCTTTATTTTGCCCTGATATCTATCTCTCTCATGACTAATACTCAAGATCAAAACTATACTTTCTAAATTACAAATTACATGTCAAAAGTAGTACATAACCACAATATCTTTATAGAAATATCCTAATACTGAACACGAGTCATGTTTTTCCCTGTGTACTGACCTACTTTTGATTTATTCGTCCAAAATGTGGCATATTCCGTCCGCGTTAGGTTATAGGAATTCCGTTTTTATGACTGATTCTACGAACCAGTCTGTGTTTTCCGCATCGAGGAAATTATAGTCTCAGAGTAATCAGTGCGAATTGGGAAAGAAATCTTTAAAATCTGTATGTGGTTGTGTGTAAATATTCAAATGTAATCCCCTTTGTAATCGTTAACATTTTCATAAGTAACTGTAATTTAATTACACATTTTTTCTTAGTAACTGTTACAGTTACATTTATTTTGTAATTAAATTACGTAACGCCGTTACATGTAACTAGTTACTCCCCAACACTGGTAACTAATGTTAACTAATGAGACCTTATTGTAAAGTGATATTTTAAAGAACCTTAATTGGACCCCATTGACTTTCATTGTACAGACATTTTTCAAAATATATTTTTTTGTGTTCCACTTTTAAAAAAATCAAGCAGGTTTGGAACAGCATGAGGGTAAGTTAAAGAAAGAATTTTCACCAAGTCATCCATGTTTTTACATTTACATAGAAAAATCATTAACAAACTAGAGCAAAGGAATGAAAGAATGTGTCCTGTGTGAACTGCACCCAAAGCAGCATTTCATGAACATTGCTATTCAATCATGTATAGCCTACTGTAATTTCAGTTAAGTTCTGCATTCTGTTTCTTTTTTTCCCCCACAATAGTGTTTTTTTTGTTGACCAGGAATCTTACTGTCAGTTGTAGATATATTGATGTAATGTCTCTCTCGCAAAACAAATGCAGCAGTTGGACTGAATGATACGTAAGGTTTTGCACAGAAACAAACAACAGTGCCTCACTTTTTTTTTAGATGTAATCTACACTGACTGAATAAATTCAGTAGCAGTCATCCAATATGTGTATCATCTGATATTATTCTTTGAACAGGGGACACTGGGGCTAGTTTCCACAAAGGTTATGTTCATTTATACAAATGCTTGTATTCTGTAGCAGTGTTTTTGTATGTTGGTTTCAAACATTTTTAAAACCCACCAAAAACTTTAGTCTTTGCAACTTTAGGGATCTTATCTATTCACAAATAGCTTGTAACACTCCAAAGAGAAAGGAAAACTTGAAATCGCATCATATGACCCCTTTAAATAATTTTTGTCATACAAACAAAAATATATTTCTTATAGTTGTTAGATAAACAAGTGAACAATAAAAATAATACATTAAGCCAAGATATATTAGATTTTAACACAAAGACTGAACAAAAATGTCTGATTGGGGCAAGTGTTATAAGCGTTATACAAGTGTTTTATCATATCATATATACTTAGAGAGAGAGAGATATTTTGGCAAAACAGCAATTTGATAATTTTGTATATTTACATTTGTTATATGTTTCATGAAGTTAGCTTGTTTCTTTTAACATACATTGACCTTATGTGACACCATGGCCCAATAAGTTTATAAGTAAATATTTACTGGAGTAAATAGAATGACAACTAGCCCCAATCTCCTACATACAGTACAAAATATATTAACCATATGTGTCATTAATAACCATCATTGTTGCTTTTAGAAGTGATAAATACGTCCAAAGATGACAACATAACACATTTGTCAAAACAAACATTTGGATATTAATTTATAAAGGCTGATATATTGTATGACTTCAGCCTCAAAAAGATTTATGTCCATCAATGTCGCTCATGTTGATTAGTACAACTCGACCTGAATAAAATATGTGTTTGAGTGTCAAAAACGTTTCAAGCATATTAAGATTTAGAAGAAAAACAGCAGAAAATATCGATACTCTTGGACCTTGCTAGATTATTAGCTTACAGCTTCTTGGTCATCTTGTGTGAGTTTATAACCAGCACATGGAGCAACGGAGGAACTGATTTGACTGTCCTTGAGAGATGGATTTAGCCTGAATGGCACCAGATTGGCTTCTCGAGAGGAGCACCTTTTCAAAGTGCAATCAGGTGACTGGCTGTGATGAATCAGACTCAGTCTGAAATTAATCAGCACATAGCCATGCACTGCCCCCCTACACACACGCACACACACATTTCCAACCCTCGCTGACATCATCCTTATAAATAGACCCTTCTCTTGTTGTTTACCCACCAAAGGAGGGTTTTTCCTTTTAAATAGATTTAATTCTTATAGGATTGAACACCATCATGACGTCTATTATTTGTGTCCTCGAAAACAGCAAGAGAACGAATGATCCACTGGAGACAAATAAGCCAGTGTTGTTAGACCCAGAAGATGACAGAGTAATTTTTTTGCTTTGTCTGATTTGGTTTGCAGTGACACACTATTGGTCCTTGGCCCAGACTGGGATCTGTCTGGTGGAGAATTTTATTGGCTCTGTGAAATGAGGTATCGCTCATAACTCCAGAGTAAGTGCCAGTCAAAACGATGGGATATGGAGATGAAGTTCAATGGGTCATTGGCTGTTTTGAAGATGACAATGTTTTAAAGCCTCCTGTCAAACATGTCCACATTATACACCATCAACTGGACATTAGCTATTATTTTAAAGGGCCTTAATAAAAGTACAAATCATACCATTTTATATTTGTAAATGCATCTTATTTGCAGTATGTATCCACAAACAATTTCCTATTTTTGGTAGCACATTTTTTTTGTAGATGTATTTGCACATTATCATAATTATTTATTCATTTGTCATAATAAATAATAACACAATAATTCTAATTAGGGATGCACCAATATTATAATTCTGGCTGAAACAATATTAAAATGTCCAATTTCATTTGATTTTGTGTAAATAAATTAAATTTTAATCACTAAAAACTATTTTTTTTAAAGCTAAAAGTAAATTTAAGCATCACATCATTATAATGTACCGTCGGGTGCATAAAAAAAAATCAAGTTTTCACTTTGGCCCTAGCATAAAATTGTTCCACTCAAATCAGACAGCAAATGTCTAATGAATATGTTTAACACATACTCAGAATTTGTTTTCTGCATTAATGCCATCCAAGTGCACACACGCAGCATGTGAGCAGTCAACAGACACACCGTGACAACCATGGCCGTGGGAACTAGGGGAGGGTGCTGTACCCCTGGATCATCCCCAAGATAATTCATTTTTGTGATAGTTTTGTGATTAATTATTTATTAAACTGACCAGAAATAGCCTAGTGCGGTTGTATTTTACTTGCGCGCCTTGTGGCGTCCCTACTTCTCCCCCTCACACTTGCAGAATTTAATGTGAAATGTTCATGCGATATTATCGTAATTTTACATTCCATCCGACTTGTAAAAAACATTCAAGTCCTCGTCCTTTTTATGGGCCATTTTCTCGCTTCTCAAGACGGCCCCCGGCAGTCACATAAGCACAGCTCTTTAATTGCGCTCTAGTAGGCTATCTGGTCAAATGCGCTCAAACCACTGTAGCCTAATGAAATCTATTAACTACGCACATCATAACGTTTTAGGCAAGTAGGCTACCATATTATGACAAAAATATTTCAATAAGACTGAATTTGTATTTAACCTGATCACGTTTAATAAAAAGACATTTTAAGTTTAATTATAACGCCGCATGTCCTCGATATCAAACAATAAACAAATTATACAGCGAGCAAACTAAGAACATTTACATTATCAAAGAATATCACTGAATTCAGTCTAGACGTGAGTGTAAGCACTCTAAAAAAGCTATAAGTTATAATCAGTGATGTTGTCTGCAGTGCATGATGAATTAGTCTCTTATTTACATCGCATGTGCTACATCTGCACTTTGTTGTTTCTGAGAGAATTCGCCAAAGTGCACTGACCAAAACTTTTGCTTATCAGCGTTGATAATATTTAGTAAAATCCCCTTAAATAGCGAATAGAAATATGAAAGAAAAATTTTTTAAATTAAAATCACAAAAGCTCATATTGGTTCGCATATAACTCTGTCTTCATTTGTATATTAATTTTTGTTTTGAGTTTGGGCTGTTTAATATTAGGGTTTTTTTTGTCAAAAATCCCCCACCATGGCCCCGCCCTGCAACATCAAGCCCCGCCCCCAGCACCCCCCAGATAAAATATGTTCCCACGGCTATGGTGACCACACACCCAGAGCAGTGGGCAGCCATTTTTGCTGTGAGCACCTCAGTTTTGGGTATTGAAGGTGGAAGAGAGCGCTGTTTATGCACTCCACCTACCTACATTTCCTGCCGGTACTGAGACACGAAGGCGTGACCTTTGGGTTACAAGCCTGTCTGACTCTCTAACCATTAAGCCACAACTGC